AAAACTGACCACATACTCAGTAACAAAACAAACCTCAACAAATACAAAAAAAAAATTGGAATAACCCAATGTACCTTTTCAGATCACCATGCTTTAAAACTAGAAGTCAACAGTAATACTAATTCCAGAAAGCCCACAAACACATGAAAATTAAACCATGTTCACCTGAATCATCAATGGGTCAAGGAAGAAATAAAGGGGGAAATTAAAAACTGCCTAAAGGCCGGGCGGTATTGGCACACACCTTTAATCCCAGCACTCGGGAGGCAGAGGCAGGCAGATCTCTGTGAGTTCGAGACCAGCCTGGTCTACAAGAGCTAGTTCCAGGACAGGCTCCAAAACCACAGAGAAACCCTGTCTCGAAAAACCAAAAAAAAAAAAAAAAAAAAAAAAAAAAAAAAAAAAAAGAAAGAAAGAAAGGAAAAGAAATAGAAACTGTCATCAAAAGTCTCCCAACCAAAAAAAGCCCAGGACCAGATGGTTTCAGCTCAGAATTCTACAAGACTTTAAAGAAGAACCAATACCAATACTCCTCAAATTATTCCACACAATAAATAGAAACAGAGGGAACATTGCCAAACTCTTTTTATGAGGCTACAATTACCCTGATACACAAACCACAGAAAGACATTACTAAGAAAGAGAATTACAGACCAATCGCACTCATGAATATTGATGTAAAAATACTAAATAAAACTGGCAAATCGAATCCAACCATCATCCACCATGATCACGTTGGCTTCATCACACAAAAGCAGGGATGGTTCAACATACGAAAATCTGTCAACATAATCCACCATATAAACAAGTTGAAAAATAAAAACCAGCCGGGCGGTGGTGGCGCACACCTTTAATCCCAGCACTTGGGAGGCAGAGGCAGGCGGATCTCTGTGAGTTCGAGACCAGCCTGGTCTACAGAGCTAGTTCTAGGACAGGCTCCAAAACCACAGAGAAACCATGTCTCAAAAAACCAAATAAATAAATAAATAAATAAATATAAATAAATAAATAAATAAATAAAAATAAAAACCACATGATCATCTCATTAGATGCCAAAAAAGCCTTCAACAAAATACAACATCCCTTCATAAAGGTCTTGGAGAGAGCGCAGACACAAGGAACATACCAAACATAATAAAGGCAATATACAACAAGCCAACAGCCAACACCAAACTAAACAGAAAGAAACTCCCAGAAATGCCACTGAAATTAGGAATAAGGCAAGGTTGTCACTCTCTCCAGATCTATTCAATATAGTTCTTGAGCTCCTAGCTACAGCAATAAGACAACAAAAGGAGATCAAGGGGATACAAATTGGAAAAGAAGAAGTCAAACTCTCACTGTTTGCTGATGATATGGTAGTTTACATAAGCGATCCCAAAAATTCTACCAAGGAACTTCTACAACCCAAACACTTTCAGCAATGTAGCAGGATACAAGATTAACTCAAAAATAAAATCAGTAGCCCTCCTGTACACAGATGATAAAAGGGCTGGGGAAGAAATCAGAGAATCAACACCCTTCACAATAGCCACAAATAGCATTAAATATCTCGGAGTAACTCTAACCAAACAAGGGGGAGACTTGTATGACAAGAACTTTAAATCTTTGAAGAAAGATATTGAAGAAGAGACCAGAAAGTGGAAATATCTCCCATGCTCTTGGGTAGGCAATTAACATAGTAAAAATGACAATCTTACCAAAAACAATCTACAGATTCAACGCAATGCTCATCAAAATCTCAGCAAAATTCTTCACAGACCTCGAAAGAATGGTACTCAACTTCATCTGGAAAAACAAAACACCCAGGATAGCCAAAACAATCTTGGGCAATAAAAGAACTTCTGGAGGCATCACAATCCCTGACTTCAAACTCTACTACAGAACTACAGTACTGAGAACAGCCTGGTATTGGCATGAGAACAGACAGGAGGACCAATGGAACTGAATAGAAGACACGGATAACAATCCAACATCTTCAAACACCTGATGTTTGATAAAGAAGCAAAAAATGTCAAATGAAAAAAAGAAAGCATATTTAACAAGTGGTGCTGGCATAACTGGATATCAACATGTAAAAGAATGAAAATAGACCCATGTCTATCACCATGCACAAAACTCAAGTTCAAATGGATCAGAGACCTCAACATAAAGCCACAATGAACCTTATAGATGAGAAAGTGGGAAGTACACTTGAACGCACTGGCACAAGAGACCACTTCCTAAATATAACCCCAGCAGCACAGACACTGAGAGAAACAATTAATAAATGGGACCTCCTGAAACTGAAAAGCTTCTGTAAAGCAAAGGACACAGTCAACAAGACAAAACGACAGCCTACAGAATGGGAAAAGTTCATCACTAACCCCACATCAGACAGAGATCTGATCTCTAAAACATACAAAGAACTCAAGAAATTGGACACCAGCTCTTTCTCTTCCGGTCGCAGGAACTTCGGGAGCCGCCGATTACCGTCCAGCCATGGCCAAGTCCAAGAACCACACCACACACAACCAGTCCCGGAAATGGCACACAAACAGCATCAAGAAACCCCGGTCACAAAGATACAAATCTCTCAAGGGGGTTAACCCCAAGTTCCTGAGGAACATGCGCTTTGCCAAGAAGCACAACAAGAAAGGCCTGAAGAAGATGCAGGCAAATAATGCAAAGGCCATGAGCGCACGTGCGGAGGCCATCAAGGACCTGGTGAAGCCCCAGGTGGTGAACCCCAAGGTGCCAAAGGGTCCTAGCCGCAAACTCACCCATCTGGCTTTAATTGCTCACCCCAAGCTTGGGAAGTGGATTAGAAGCTACATGGCCAGGGGTCGTAGGCTCCAAAAAACAAAGCCCAAGGTTCAAGCCAAGGCAGAGGCCTCAGCTGCAGCTCAGGCTCCCAAAGGTGCCCAGGCCCCTGTGAAGGCCCCATAAAAAAGGTCTCAGTCTGCCAATGTGAAGACAGGTGGACTGGTGTGAACACCTATACAGTATTTGCAGATGTTCAGGACCTTATGCGGTTTTTACAAATAAACTTGAGGCAAATTCTGTTAAAAAAAAAAAAAAAAGGAATTGGACACCAAAAGATCACATAATCCAAAAAAAAAAATGGAGTACAGACCTAAACAGAGAACTCTCAACAGAGGAATCTAAAATGGCTGAAACACACTTAAGGAAATGTTCAACATCCTTAGTCATCAGAGAAATGAAAATCAAAACAACTCTGAGATTCCATCTTACACCTGTAAGAATGGCCAAGATCAAAAACACTGATGACAACTTATGCTGGAAAGGGTGTTGGGTAAAGGAAAAACTCCTCCATTGCTGGTGGAAGTGCAAATTGGCATAGCCCCTTTGGATATCAGTATGGTGATTTCTCAGAAAATTAGGAAACAACCTTCCTTTGGGTGTATACCTTTTGGATAAGGATGCTCAATCATGCCACAGGGACATGTGCTCAACTATGTTCATAGCAGGTTTGTTTGTCATAGCCAGAACAAAGAATGGATAAGAAAAATGTGGTACATTTACACAATGGAGTACTACAACAGCAGAAAAAAACAATGGCAGCTTGAATTTTGCAGGAAAATGGATGGAGCTAGAAAACATTATTTTGAGTGAGGTAACCCAAACACAGAAAGACAATTATCACATGTACTCACTCACAGGTGGTTTTTAAACATAAAGCAAAGAAAGCCAGCCTAAAAACCACAATCCCAGAGAACCTAGACAACAATGAGGACACTAAGAGAGACATACACAGATATGATCTACACGCGAAGTAGAAAGTAGAAAAATACACAATCTCCTGAGTAAACTGGGAGCATGGGGACCTTTGGGGAGGGTTGAAGAGGGATGAGGAGAGGCAGGGAGGGGAGCAGAGAAAAATGTAGAGCTCAATAAATATCAATAAAAAATGTATAAAAAAATTCTGACACTTTTGGAAGACACAAGTGTGTTCATCAGTATTTCTAACATAGCACATTCATGACAGGAAGTCTCAATAATGAGATGTCAGGTACCGGTTTAAACTAGAAGCTCAACATACTTCTAATAAAAATTCTAAAACATATTTGTCATAACAGGAAACAAATTAAAAATGATGTGCAGAGGGCTGGAGAGATGGCTCAGAGGTTAAGAGCACTGGCTGCTCTTCCAGAGGTCCTGAGTTCAATTCCCAGCAACCACATGGTGGCTCACAACCATCTGTAATGAGATCTGGCGCCCTCCTCTGGCGTGCGGACATACATTGAGGCAGAATGTTGTATATATAATAAATAAATAAATCTTAAAAAAAATGATGTGCAGAAATGAAGGAAAGAAATGATGAACACAATACAGAGGAACCAACTGCAATGCTTCCTGACTATAACACTTCCCATCAGACATCAGTACTCAAGACAATGTACCATTTGAGGAAAAATATTAACAAACACATAAATAGAAATAAAGACAAAAATATAGACAAAGGATGTTTGGCAGAAGAACTAACAAAAAAAATTAATGAGAAGTCTTTTCTAAAGCTGCTTCTGAACACATTTGCAAATAAACTCACTGGATAAAGACTTTACAGATGTTGCAAAATTAGCCTGAAATGGATCCTATATCTACATGTGCAATGCAAAATTCAGAACTTCTAGAAGACACCACAAAGAACCTCAGTCTAGCACGCTGTCTTCCAGCGCAACACCAAAAGGTGGACTTGTGCAAAGGTGACATCACCCCACCACGCGTGCGCGCGCGCGCGCGCGCGCGCACACGCACACGCACACACACACACACACACACACACACACACACACACACACACACACGCAGGCGCGGAAGAGGACGATCAAGGTGGATGCGCGTGCGCACACAGGCCGCCGGCCAGGCCAGGGCCCAGGTCGCAGGACGGACTCCGAGTCCCCGTCCCGCTCCCCCAGCGCGGGGAGGACCCAGCACACAGGCTCCCGCAGCTCAGCAGATCGCTCCTCCCCGTCTGGGGATCGCGATCCCGCGCTCACCGTGGTGCAGCTGCCGAGCTCTCCTCTGTCGTCCTCCGTGCTCCGGGCAACGGCGCCCTCAGCAACCTCCCTCAGCCTCAGTGAAGAACCCTCAGCTAGCATGGCGCCGGAAAGAACCCGCCCCCTGCCTCCCAGCCGCTTCTGATTGGCTAGAACGGCTCTGCTTGTGCTGAGTGACAGAAGCAGCTCCTCTAGGGTCTTAGGCTGTGCGCTTTGAAAACGATGGCTGTGTTGTGGTGGCCAGCTGGTGGAAACATAGGCTCATGGCTCTCCTGTTCTTGTAGGTGCGCCCTACTAAATGACCCTGGCCAGCGAAAATAGTTGACAGTATCTAGCCAATTTGTGACTCTGAGATACCTAGGAAAAGTCCACTGAAAGAAACGATTCTGACAGCTCAAGAGGGCCATATTTCTGATGAGAGTCTTGCTGACTGCAAGAGTCTCAAACTTTTAATCCTCCTAAATTCTGAGGTTGTGGGCCCTAAGTCAGCATGTCTAGCCATAATTGTTTCTTAAACAGTCATTAGAGAACTTGTAACTTCTGGAATGTTCTCATGTATTCTTCTCCTTCACATATAAAGCTACAGAAAAAATTTAAGAGTATGTAATTGAGGGCTAGAGACATGGCTCAGCGGTTAAGAGCACTGGGTCCAGCAGAGGATCCAGGTTCCATACAAAACACTCACATCGAGGCTCACAACCTTCTGTAACTCCAGTTCCAAGGAATTCAATGCCTCCTGGCCTCCGTAGGCACCAAGCACACATGTGGTACACAAACATACAGGTAAATCGCCAAAATACATAAAATAAGGATAAATATTTTAAATGTCTGATTGAACAGCTAAGAATGTGGCTCAGTTGGGTGGAATGCAGGAAGCCCTGGGTTCATGCCTCAAAACCACATAAACTAAGATGGTGTTTTTCTATAAGCCCACCAGTGATGAAGATCAGAGAGTCATAAATTCAAGGTCATTCTTCACTACAGAGTGGTTTTGAGGCCAGTCTCAGCAGCATGGCCCCCGCCTCAAAAAATAAAAGATGCTGAGCATGGTGGCAGATACCTTTAACCCCAGGTGGATCTCTGTGGGAACAAGGCCAGACTGGTCTATACAGCAAGACCCTATCTCAAAATACAAATGTGCTACAGATAAACTCACATTGACTCACACATATTACATATAAAATAAATAAATATTTAAACATTAACCCTACAGCAATGGCATCTAGTAAGAGCAAGCTAAATGAAATCTCAGAATGAGAACTCAAATAATGATTATAGATATGTTCAAAGACACAAACAACTGAACAGAATAAGGAAGGTCATGGGTAATATGAAAGAGGAACTCAACAAAGAGAGAAAATCAATATGAAATTCAGAAATTAAAGAAAAATAGTCAAATAAAAAGAACTGTGGACAGTCTCATCAATAGAATGGATCAATGAATACCTGAGCTTGAAAACAAAGTGGAAGAACTGAAATAATCCAATAAGGACATAGATAAAATAACAAGCAGCTACCAGTGAGCATTCCCAGAGAGGCACAACACTGAAAATACTACATTTAGGGGTGACAGGCACATGTTCACTGACAAACTTCCTGTAAAGAGGCAATACACACCCTCCTCACCAGATGAGAGCCACAGATGACAGAAGGACTGCACAAAGTCCAATTTAGTGAACTTGTGAGCTTTTATTGGGGTCATTAACAGTAGTGTGGGTGAGGAGGTTATTGAGGAACAAGAAAGACTCAAAACAGCAATTCGTGAAATGACTCACAAAAGCTGCGTCCACAGAGCCTCCCTGTGCAGCTGCAAACAGCTTGATGGTCTGAGAGTCTCTCCTCCTGGCAATATGGTGGGTCAGTTTCCCCTCCTCTGGCATTGATCTCCATCCTCTAGAAATTTGGAAAGGGTGCTTCGAGAATCTTGCTTTCCCAGAAGTCTTCATTAGGTTTTCTGCTGCTTTGATGAAACACCACCACCAAAAAGCAAGTTGGGGAGGAAAGGGTTTATTTGGCTTATACTTCCATAGCACTGTCCATCCACTGTCAGGACAGGAACTCAAACAAGGCAGGAACCTGAAGCAGGAACTGATGCAGAGGCCATGGAGGGGAGCTGCTTACTGACTTGCTCCCCATGGCTTGCTCAGCCGGCTTTCTTATAGAACCCAGGACCACAAGACCAGGGATGGCACCACCCCCACTGATCACTAAAATAAGAAAATGCCTTACTGCTGGATCTCAAGGAGGCATTTCCTCAGCTGAGTCTCCTTCCTCTGATGACTCTAGCTTGCATCAAGTTGACACACAAAGCCAGCCATGACACCAGACACATAGTGTTTATCTCCAGAGCCCCGTGAATCCTTCCCCTCCCTCCTGTATGAAATGTTTCCATTCGGAGAAAACTGCTCTGCAACAGCATAGAAGAGGGGGAATAATTTCATTCTAAAAACAAAATATTTTCACAAAAATCATAACAGGAAACTCCCAAGTTGGAGATAAAGGAGGCAGTTACAACACTACACAGAGAAGGCCTGAAAGAGCCTCCCTCATCATATAGAAACCAAAACAAACAGAACAAAGAAATGATGATGAGAGCTGAGGAAGAGAAACACCAAATCACGTACAACTTTTTCAGGAGAGACACAACTCACCCCATGTAGAGAGTCCATGACATACCAAAGCACGGACACCACCAAAGTTCAACTTAGTGAACCAATGAGTTTTATTGGAGCACTTACAGGAGCAGAAATGACTCAAATGACTCAAAGACAGCTGAGCTGCATCACCAAAGCCTACTCCAGCAGCTACTCACAGCACTGGGAGCCTGGAGCACACTGCACAGCCTGCAAGCAACTCACCTGGTTCCTACCAGGAACATACTGCTGTTGTCTTGCTAAAGAAAAGCAACAACACACTGCCTTCTACATATTTATGCATATGTGCTTCTCTCAGCCTTGCCAGAGAAGCTTCCCCATTCAGTGGTCAGCAGTCAATGCAGAGACTCGAACTGTTCAAAGTGCTGAGAATACATGAGCTGATTGCTTAGCCCTAAACAGGACCTCTAGATCAACCTCCTACCTACAAGGCTCGTAAAACATCATAGAAGAGGAGGAGGAAAGAAAGTAAGAGGTAGAGGATGAGGAGCACGGCTGTGAAAGGCATGGAGGGGGCATGGAGATTGCGCTCATGAGCCTACTGAAACTATACTCACCTGCACACAATCAAGCCAACAAGATCAGTCAGCATTTCAACAAGCAGCATTAACTAGACTCAGAGAGAAAATAAAATGGCAGAACAGAAAGGGGAGAGGAACTAGATGGGGAGCCTGGGGGATGTGGAAGGGGCAGTTGGAAGAAGTTATAAACAACATACATTACACTGGATAACATCAGGAGCCCAAAGGCAGAAGTGGGAAATATTAGCTTCTAGATCAATGAAATGTTGCTTTTGCCTCCTTGTAAACAATATCTTCCTTTTGCAACCAAGATTTCTAGGCTAACAGGGCATGAAGTCGTAGGAAAAGGAAGCAAAATTTTTGAAAAAGAATCATTATTTCTATCACTTAAATTGTGATCATTAAAGAAAAGTACCATATAATGGTATGTAAGTATGTAAAAGAGTAATTGAGTCATAGAGTCTTGTAGTAAAGCTCCAGAGAGCTTCTTAGGTCAGATGTTAGATATGTAAGGATTGTATGATATCTGCAGAGGAAAGACCTGGAGTGAATCTGGCCCACAAGAAAAGCTATGTGAACTCTGTACGGCAGACTTGGGGGTGTGGAGATGACCATGGCATTGGCTTGCAGACGAGCCAATGGACTGGAGCAGTTAATTGGATATTTTCAACACTGGGCTTTGTTCCTGGTTCAGTTCTATCTTTCCTTGTCTGTCTCTTCATTTCGGGATGGGAGTGTGTACCATGTGACACTGAGCCACGTAATTTGTTTTGATATTACAAGGGCTGGAGAACTTGCTCTTGCAAAAGACCTGGATTGGATTCCCAGTACCCACATGAAGGTTTACAACCATCTATATCTCCAGCTCACTCAGATCCAAGAGGCACGAGTGTGGTGCACACACATGCATGCAGGCAAAACATTCAAATACATAAAGCCATAAATAAAGGATATTGAGCCTATAATTCGTGATCCTAGAGAAGCTAAATAAGAAGGTGAACACAAAGAAAAACATATAGCTATCCTCCTGGATATTGGAAGTAGACAAGATTGCCGGGCAAAAAATTGGGATCTTGGGGGTGGAGTGGGATGGGGGTAATGGGAGATGGGGAGAGAAAAGTGAAAAGGGGAGGAAGGGGGAACTTGGAGGAATGGGATGGTTGGGATAAAGAAAGGGTGGATATGGGAGCAGGGAAGTATATATCTTAATTAAGGGAGCCATCTTAGGGCTGGCAAGAGACTTGACCCTAGAGGGGCTCCCAGGTGTCCAGGGAGATGTCCCCAGTTAGTTCCTTGGGCAGCTGAGGATAGGGAACCTGAAATGGCCCTATGCTATAGCCATACTGATGAATATCTTGCATATCACCATAGAACCTTCATCTGGCAATGGATGGAGATAGAGACAGAGACCCACATTGGAGCACCGGACTGAGCTCCCAAGGTCCAAATGAGGAGCAGAAGGAGGGAGAACATGAGCAAAGAAGTCAGGACCGTGAGGGGTGCACCCACCCACTGAGACAGAGGGGCTGATCTTTTGGGAGCTCACCAAGGCCAGCTGGACTGGGACTGAAAAAGCATGGGATAAAACCGGACTCTGAACATGGCGGACAATGAGGGCTGATGAGAAGCCAAGGACAATGGCACTGGGTTTTGATCCTACTGCACGTACTGGCTTTGTGGAAGCCGAGCCTGTTTGGATGCTCACCTTCCTAAACCTGGATGGAGGGGGGAGGACCTTGAACTTCCCACAGGGCAGGGAACCCTGACTGCTTTTTGGACTGGGGGGGTGGGGGGAGTGGGAGAAGAGGGAAAGGAGTGGGGGAGGGGGAGGGAAATGGGAGGCTGGGAGGAGGCGGAAATTTTTTTCAATAAAAAAAGAAAGAAATACTAAAAAATAAAAAATACTTTGAGTCTCAGAAGAAGGATGGATTTTTTTTTTTTTTTGGTTTTTTGAGACAGGGTTTCTCTGTAGCTTTGGAGCCTGTCCTGGAACTCCCTTTGTAGACCAGGCTGGCCTCGAACTCACAGAGATCCTCCTGCCTCTGCCTCCCAAGTGCTGGGATTAAAAGCGTGCGCCACCACCGCCCGGCGAAGGATGGAATTTTTGAACAATGTCCCAACTGGCAGGAATGTGAGACAGCTGCTCAGGAAACAGCAAACAGAAATCAACACTAGTGCTCAGCACATTTTCTCCTTTCAAATAAGTCTAAGCCCATCCCTGTGGATATTGCCACAATCTGTTTGCAGGGTAAATCGTGCCACCTCTGTTAGCTCTCCCTAGAAAGGCCCATACAGGCCATTCCTTCACCAGAACTGTCCAGCCACACTGACCTCTTACCGTCTATTAAACCTTAACCTGCTTTATGGATTCAGGAGTGGGACCTGGGGTCCCTAGACTTCTTTGTGTCTCTCATCACCAGTGTAATCTACTGAATATTATTTTTTGTTTTAAACTGTTGCTTGCCTGTCTAACTTGCCTATTGAGGATGGTGTCCAAGCTTATTAGGGCTGCCAGGGCCCAATCTCTGACCCTAGCTACTCTGATAAATTATTGTGGCCTACTCTCCCAGTGCCTTCACCATTATTAAAGTCAATATAGCTAAGAGCTGATCAATTGTGTGTATATTTAATGAATGATCTTAAGCTATGAGCTTTTGGCAAAAGCCAGGTTCTTTCATTTCACTGTTTCAAGGATCTGATATCTTTCTTTATAAAGTCCATATTTTTAAAACACCCTAATAATTTTGTTTCCTTTATGGCATATATTGTTTATTTCATTTTTTAATATTTGACATGAATTATTTATTTATTTATTTATTTTGTTCTCTAGGCCCTGCTAATCTCAAGCACATCATGCAACAATAGCTGACATTGAAATCCAGATCCTGCTGCTTATGCTTCCTGAGTCCAGAGGGTTCTCAACCTTCCTGACGCTGTGACCCTTTAATACAGCTCTTCATGCTGTAGTGACCCCCAACCATACAATTATTGGCACTTCATAACTTTAATTTTGCTACTTTGTTTTCCAACGGTCTTTGAGTGTCATGACCCATTTCAACATGAGAATTAGACTGTTGTCCATTTCAACATGAGATACATTTAGCGCTCGCGAGTTACAGATAAGCAGTAGGTACTAGGCACTTTTCTTCCCTAGCTGTGGGTGGTCCCTGGCCATATCTGAGAACTCTGAGAGTTGGAGAGATACAGGTGGTCTGCTATGTAGCTGGAACCACAGTAAGAAAAATAAGATGCCTCAGATCTCAAATTATTCATTAGATAAGGTTTTGTATGCTAAACCAGTGAGATGAGAAAATTAAGATGGCAGACGTGGCCTCTGGGAGAAGAGGACAGGAATGTCTACCCTGGGGGTCAGGAGGGGGAAAAAACCAACATTGTCTTGCTCCAAATCAGCAACTATTTTTTGCCTTTTGTCTATGCTGCTATGTCTTTCTGCAGAATTGATTAAAAATGGCTTCAGTTCTGTTGTAATAGGAGTGGCGGGGCTGCGTCCCCAGCACCCCGGCCACCTGCTAGCTTATGCCCCGAAATAATTACACGGACACTGTATTCTTTTAAAACACTGCTTAGCCCATTAGCTCTAGCCCTTACTGGCTAATTCTGATATCCAGATCAACCCATCTCTAATAAACTGTGTAGCACCGGTCTTACTGGGAAAGATTCAGCATGTCTGACCTGGCGGCTTGTTTCATCGCATTCGTCTGCCCGGGAGAGGGGAGCATGGCCTCTGCTCCAGAGAGCAGCTGTCGAGTCTGAGCTCACTTCCTCTTCCTCCCAGCATTCTGTTCTGTTTACTCCACCCACCTATGTTCTAACCTATAAGATGGGCCAAAGCAGTTTCTTTATTAGCCAATGACCTTCCTCCATCACAGTTCTCTCCATTCTCTTGGAATTTGTTATCATCTTATTTCCGACTGTGAAGGTGAGCACAGAAGACCAGGCTGGCCTGGATTATAAGAGTCATAAAGCCACAGCACGTCTGCTTCCTAACTACCCCAGGAAAGAGCTGCAGAAGGTTCTGATTTCTTCTGCCTGTGCAGAGTTTGTAGCTGGCCAGATCTTACTCTGGAGACAAACCAGGCTGACCTAGAACTCACAGAGATCCACCTGTCTATGCCTCCTGAGTGAGTGATGGGGTTAAGGGGACTTGCACCACCAAGTCCCACTTGACAGTCCACGTTCTAACAAAATCTTTGGCTTGCCTGATCCAGGCCCATGGAGTGCGTCAGATTCAAGATCCAATACAAGTTCTAGGCCCGAGGCAAGAAACTACTGCACTGGACATCAAATTGGTAAATGGACAGTGGACACTAGCCTCCCAGGATGAATCACCATGGACTGAAGTACCCCGCACGACCCCGGCAGTTTTGGCTTTTATGTAAATCTCTCCCAAACTATGCTAGGTCTCCTAGGACAGAAAGCAGAGTTGGAAGGATGTGCCTCAGTCAGTGGGGCTCCTGTTGTGGGATCCCTTCTTTCACTCAGCATGTCACTGGCTGCGCGGCCCTAGCCAATCAGGACCTCCAGGTGGGCTGTCCAATCAGGAGCGCCGGGGGCGGCGGGGCGGGCTCCTTCCGGCAGTCCGGCTGTGCGTTCCGCTGGGCAGCCCTGGGAGGCGCGGCGGGCTCGCGGCTCTTCGCTGTGAGCACCGCCACCCCGTGCTGTGCGGCCAGCTTGGCAGCCACGCCATGGTGAGCGCGGGGCCGCGGTCTCCAGACGGGGAGGACTGAGCCACAGGAGCCTGTGTGCTGGGTCCTCCCCGCGCTGGGGGAGGGGTGGCACCGGCGACCTGGAAAGTTCGGCTTCAAGCGAAGATTAGAGTTCAAAAGCAAAGTCGCGAGCACCGGGCAGGTGACGGGAGGGCTGCATGCTGGGGAACAGAGGACGCCAGTCTGGGCGGGTCGCTGAACCCTTGCGGACGTCTACGGTTACCTTTTCCTTCTCCCGCGCACGCTCTTTTGCGCGCGGACTGTGACAGCTTGCATCTAACGCCCCCAATTTTGGCGCTGCTTGCGGCCAGCGGCTGTTCTGGGAGAAGGGCCGCACTGGACCGCCCCAGGATCGGATAGGGAGGAGAAACTTGGAGCGGCACTCAAGGGTTGGCAGAGTGGAGGATCCCTACGGCTGCCTCAGCGCCCTACTGTGCGGTGCGGTGCGGTGCGGTGCGGTGCGGTGCGGTGCGGTGCGGTGCGGTGCGGTGTGTGTGTGTGTGTGTGTGTGTGTGTGTGTTCGCGCGCAGTGAGACAGGTGCGAAGTCACAGAACAACTTTATGGAATGATTGCTCTCGTTCCGCAGTTCGCGGACCGACCTTAGGTTGTCTGGCTTGGGTTGCAAGGACTCCTAGCAGCTGAGCTATATCACAGAGCCTAGTACAGTTTAATTTTTCTTTTCTATTAAAGAAAAAATCTGCTTCCTCCCCAGTCTGGGGATTGAATGCAACAGCTTATGCATAGCATGCTGGGTGAGTTCTCTATTACTCCTTAGGCCCACTGCAGCCTTATCCTACCTTGGTGATAATTGCTTTGAAATTAGTTTTTGTTGAAGACCAGCTTCCACCAAACTCGTACATTCCAGGGTAGGAGCGTGAGAATTCAAACAAACAAACACAAAAAGAAATAAGAGACAGAAACACAGAACAGCATGGGGAGGGGGAGGCATTCTGTGAATACTGAATCTGCCTGGTTTATTTTCCACATGCTTATATACTTCACTCCAAAAGGGAAGAGGGGGAGGCAACAGGCTTCATTGCCATGATATAGGAATAGACTTGAATTCCCCAACCTTTGGTCCAGGTGGAGCAGACCCACCTCTATACCCAGAATACTAATTAACCACGCCCTAGGTCAGAATCGCTCGTTTGTAGACACACCTGTTGTCACCAGCTTTAAGAGAGCAAAAAATAAGCTCAAACTCTGACCTCCAGTCAAGGTGGAACAACTCTGTCAACCTTCACAAGTTGTAACTGTAAACCGTGAATCTCTGCTTTGCTCTTTCCCAAGGCTGTTCCAGTATTCTAACTTCTTTGGAATTCTAGGAATTTTCGAAGCAATTTTCGACTTTGGGGTCCCTTTGGTGTGTGATCCAGAGTGTTACCATCTTATCTCACTGCTAGGTTGGTGACCTTGACTAGGAGAATGAATTTCCTTTTACTTAAACTTAGATTCTTGCTGAGCTTGTTGGTGCTTACCTTTCATCCCAGCATTCCAGTGATTGAAGCAAATGGCTCTCTGAGTTCTAGGTCAGCCATGTGTATATAGTGAGTATCAGGCAAGTCAGGACTACACAGTGAGAACCTGTCTCAAAAGAAGTAAAACAGAATACTTAGATTCTTCACCCATCAGGATCCACCAGTGGGTGGGGGCTCCCTTTGCCAAGCCTTAAGACCTGGAGATTAATCTTTGGAAGCCGCGTGGTCAAAGAGAATAGAAAATCACGGTATTTCTTTGACCGCTTGTTCCTTCACCTCCATCCATGCACAATGGCAAATGCATGCCCACATATGCACACATAGAAAAATGTTTTAAAAATCAGATTTTAGTTAGGCGGTGGTGGTGCACACCTTTAATCTCAGCACTCAGGGAGGCAGAGACAGACAGATCTCTGAATTTGAGGATAGCTTCGTCTACAGAGCAAGTTCCAGGACAGCCCAGACTACACAGAGAAACCCTGTCTCAAAAGACCAAAATAAAAGTAGAAGAAAGAAAAAACCATTCCCTTTGTGGAAATCAAATAAAATATTTGTGTTTACTTGTTTTATTTTCAAGATGAACTTGAACTCGCTATCTCCCTCAGGAACTTGCTTTCTGGAGTTGAAGTGTGTGCTACCACATCTGGCTTATAAAGGGCCTTAAGAGTTCTTGTTCTCTTTAGGAAATGTGGCTTCTCAGAGTCTCACTATGTAGCTCTTGGCAGCCTGGAATTCACCATGTAGACCAGGCAGACCTCAAATTCACAGATCTGCCTGTTTCTGCCTCCTTAAGGCAGGGGTTAAAAGCTGGACCACCAAGTCCAGCCTAGACACCTTTCATCCATAAATTTTTCATTTTATTTATGCTTATTACCTAAGTGGATAATTTGTATTGATCTCAATGTGAGGAGTCATTTTCTTGACTTTTCTTTTGCTATTTTATTATTATCAAGGAAGTGAACCTATTTCTATACCAATAGTTTTTCATCCCCAGGCATTATTGCTCCTTTGTAAAGCTTGTGTTCATTTTATTATTTATTTGTGTATGTGCTCAAGGAGGCAAAGGGGGTATCATGTGTATATGTATGTTATTATGTGCATGTGTCTGTGTGTCTGTATATGTGGCCTCAAGGAGACCAGAGAGGTGTTAGCATCCTAAAAGTTAAGCTCCAGGCAGTTGTGAGCTACCTGATGTGGGTGCTGGAAATTGAACTCAGGTCCTTTGCGAGAAGAATGTGAGCCGTTTCTCTAGCAAGTTCTTTTATGTTGCATATATTCTGGATTTCTCTGTCAGATTTGCAGGTCTCACTTTCCCTAGTTTGAATGTTTGGAATTATTCGTTCCTCTATGACTTTTCACCTTAAAAATATATCTCTTTGTGTAAGTTGACATTTTCCTCATGAAGGGACAACACTCAAAAAATAAACTTAGAAGGCTCAGGAATCTCCTAAAACAAGATTCACAGTACTTTGTGAACACATCCACAATAACGTAAACACTAGCAAATGCTGGAGAAAATTTCCCAGGAGCCCCCCGTACAGGAAGCCCCCCGGAGACAGCTTTCGGGCACCCTTAGCCATGCAGCGTTGAGCTTTCATTCACTCCTGTAAGTAACAGAATAAGCTCATTGACACAGCAGGTGTGGGTAGTTTCATGTCATTGTTGCCCCATCTGGAATAAGGAGACATTTGTTAACATTTCATGAAAAGTCATATGAGGTCTGAGGATCGAGTTTATCCCAGCTGCGAGTCATAGGGAATGGGGAGTAGAAGGCCCGTCAGGGCCCTCGTCATGCAGACTGTCAACTGAACAGGCATAGACGGGACAGAGTTCCTGTTCATCTGAAGGTTACAGGTGTCAACTTCTAAGCTGTGGCCTCCCACTTAGAAAAGCCAATTTCCATCATGAAGGGGAATCCTACTTTCACTTTTGAGCCACTTGAGTTATGCATGCATAGTCAGGCTAGAGATGACCCAGAGGTGAGGATCACCAAGACACTGGCTATGGGTTGAGCATATGGAGAAATCTGGAAAAATGAAGGTCTGACTAGCAATGATAATTTTTGAGATCAGGAGTCCATACCTGGTATACTGTAGAATTCATGTCATTCTGTTGGGATGTATTTTCTTTTTTTTTTTCTTTTCTTTTTTTTTTTTTTTTTTTTTGGTTTTTCAAGACAGGGTTTCTCGAGATGTAAATTTAAGAGTGCAATTGAACTGTGCCACGAAATAGAGTGATTTATTTATCATTTGTATTCTTGCCTTCTCTACCAAGATATTAAGGTCACTTACACCATCCAGTTTTAACATTGAGGCTGGAGAAACGGCTCAGAGGATAAAAGAACTGAATGTTCTTGCAGAGTATCTGCTGGGTGTCGTGCCCAGCATCCACATGGTGACTCAGAACTGTCCCTTATTCCAGTTCCAGAGGATCTAATGCCTCTTTCAACTTCTGTGGCCCTCTAAACACACACATGGTGTACAAACATACACTCAGGCATGCTAGTGTTAACACTGTTCCCGACATCAGGTGGGAGGCTCTGAGACAGGAAGTGGAAATGCAGTGTAGCCAGAGGACCGTGCAGAGCTGCAGCTCATTCTGGGCCCTGGTCCACTGGGAGGAGTGCTGCAGGGCGGCTCCTTCCTCATCCCTCAGTGTAGCCAGAGGACCGGGCAGAGCTGCAGCTCATTCTGGGCCCTGGTCCACTGGGAGGAGTGCTGCAGGGCGGCTCCTTCCTCATCCCTCAGTGTAGCCAGAGGACCGGGCAGAGCTGCAGCTCATTGTGGGCCCTGGGCCACTGGGAGGAGTGCTGCAGGGCGGCTCCTTCCTCATCCCTCACTGCTTGCATTACAACTTCCATCTCATGGAAGAGTGTGGATCCCACAGTGTCGAGTGAACCTTTTGTCAATCAAGTGTGTGCAATGTTTAGGCCTCAGTGAGTGTTGAGGACGTGGCTGTGCACTTCACCCAGGAAGAGTGGGCTTTGCTGAATCCTTCCCAGAAGAGTCTGTACAGAGATGTGATGCTGGAGACCTGCAGGAACCTCGCTGCCATAGGTGAGGATAACATCTTACCTTCACTCTGTAAACTAGGGAGCAAGTGTCTATTGGTGTCGATGCTCTTCTGGGATTTGGACTATTGAAAAGCAGATTATGTTCAATATATCAGACAGGGTTTCCATGTAAGAAACTAACTTTTGGGGGCTGGAGAAATAGCTCAGTGGTTAAGAGCATTGCCTGTTCTTCCAGAGGTCCTGAGTTCAACTCCCAGCAACCACATGGTGGCTCACAACCATCTGTAATGAGGTCTGGTACCCTCTTCTGGCCTGCAGGCATACAAGCAGACAGAATATTGCATACTAAATAAATAAATATTTTTTTAAAAAAAGAGTAAATGGTGTTGGTTGGGAAATTAAGACTTTAAAAAAAAAAGAAACTAACTTTTTAGTAATTTCTAATTTATCCTAAATCTTCTGATACTTCCTTTTAGGATACAAATGGAAAGACCAGAACATTGACGACCATCATAAAAATCCTGGGAGAACTCTAAGGTAATGTGTGTGCAGAGGGTCTCTTTTAAAGGGATGAAAATTGACTGAAAGGGGACAGGCTTTCTCTGCCCCAGATCTCCTCCTAGCTGCTAGTATGTTACTCAATTTTTCTGGCTCTAGTTTGGCATGGTGTGGATGGTCTGCCCATCCTCTTCATAACGAATTTGCTTTCTTACGCCTGGAGATCTTGAGCAGTTCTGTGAATTGCTGCTTATAGGACACAAAGTTCCATGTCTCTGATCAGGTCCCACATGAGCTTGGTGTGTTTGGAGCCAGCTGGACCTCAGCTTGCTCATGTCTTTAATCACTTTGTGACCCAGGCCACTGAGTCCTGAGTAGCTTGGGTTCAGGAACCCTGGCTAGGGGTGGCAAAGGGACAAAGAAAGAACAGACACACATACAATGAAGCGATAATCAGATGGGATTCTCTCTCTCTCTTTCTCAGATTGGGGGGGGGGTGGTTGGTGTGTGTGTGTGTGTGTTTGTTTTTCGAGACAGGCTTTCTCTGTATCTCTGCCTGTTCTGGAACTCGCTTTGTAAACCAGAGATGGCTGGCCTCATCTCTGCCACCCTGAGTGTGGGGATTAAAGGTTGTGCCGCCGCCATCCTGGAACCTTGGGGTCTTTATTACAGCACGGGAGGGTTGGCCAGACTGGGGAGGAGATCTCTGTAAGTAAACAGTCTCAGGCTGTCCATCTGGAAGGAGGAAGCTGCAGTTGCTAGTCCTTACACATGCTGTTCATAAACACTCAGACTCCCAGAGAAACCTTTGCCATCCTTCTTAAGTGTGGGCCATATGAATGACTTGGCCAGTTTACTGTGGGCCAATTAGTCCTGGAGTCCTGGCCACGCCCATGTCAAAAACACATTTACTCAGGATTCACTCACTCAGGGCTTCCTCCACTCCCTACAGATGGCTACAGAATTTGAAGAATTCTGTTGTTCTTCGGTGGTGACCATGACAAGAAGTCTTTAAAGGAATTTTGATGTGCTACAAAAATTTGCAAATAAGCAAACTAAACAAATAGACACAATGTGAATTTTTTTCATTTTAATATTTTTATCAAAACTACAGTTTATAGGTACTAAAATGTTAGTGTGCTGACTAGTGTTAATTTCACTTGGAAACATTACAGGAACTTGAACTAATGGGTACCACTGTTTTGACCAAAGCTCTGTGAGAATTGGTGTGTACAACATCGATCTGTTTAGTCTCTGTGGCCACTCATATCTGGCAAAAGGCATAACCCTTGTCTGATCTGTAGAACTATGTATAACCCAGACCTGATAAGCAGCCAGTAAAACAACTCTTGCTAAATTGTCTTTTGTTGGTGTAGCTTGTGTTTTCTTTACAGAAGTTACATGTTACAGACATTCTGTGAGAATGAAGGTGGTGACCAAGATAGAGAAGAATTGACTTGGAAACTGAATCTCAGTATGAGCATGAAAAGTTCCCCTGGACTAATACCATGTGAAAACAGCGTGTGGGGAAAGACAGCCTGGAATCATTCACCCGCTAGTAGACATGCCACATCTCACACTCAGTATAATCCACATGAGCGTGAGAGATATATGACCAAGCAATGTAACTCCGACTCTCTAATAAACTTCCAAAGGTGTATGAGAACTCACACTGTGGATGGGCCGTGTGAGTGTGAGATATGTTTAAAATATTTTGGTTTTCCAAATACACAGGATCAGGAAACTGATAGTGGAAAAAATCCATGTCAATACAAGGAATATGGAAAGACCTCTGTTAATATTAGTTCATCATGTACACATGGAGGAACTCATGCTGTAGGGAAATGTTATGAGTGTCATCGATGTGGTAAAGCTCTGAGCTCTTACAGTTCACTTAGAAGACATGAAAGAATTCATACTGAGAAGAAACCCTATAAATGCAAACAGTGTGGGAAAGCCTTTAGATACCACAGTTACCTTCACTTACATGAAAGAATTCACACTGGTGAGAGACCCTATGAATGTAAACAGTGTGGGAAAGCTTTTATATTTCCTGGTGCCTTGCAGGTACATGAAAAAATTCATACTGGAGAAAAACATCATGAATGTAAACAATGTGGTAAAGCCTTTAGACGTCATAGTGATCTTCAAGTACATGAAAAAATTCATACTGGAGAAAAACCTTATGTATGCAAACAATGTGGTAGAGCTTTCAGACTTAACAGTCATCGGCAGAGACATGAACAAACTCATACTGAAGACCGACCCTTTATATGCAAGCAGTGTGGCCGATCTTTTGAACATTACAATAATCTTGAGTTACATGAAAAAATTCATACAGGAGACAGACCCTTTGTATGTATAGAATGTGGCAAAGCTTTTGGATGTTACAGTAATCTACAATTACATGAAAAAATTCATACTGGAGATAGACCCTTTGTATGTAAAGAATGTGGTAAAGCCTTTATATGCCATGGCCATCTTCAGAGGCATGAAACAACCCATACTGGAGAAAAACCCTATGGATGTAAACAGTGTGGGAAAGCCTTCAGTCGTAACAGTCATCTTCAGAGACATCAAAGAACTCACAAGCAGATGTCTACATGCCCCAGAAAGTAATGACCCCACCAAAGTCCAACTAGGCAAACAGATAGTTGTGTTGGGATGACTTCTAGGAACACGGACAACTCATGCACAGCTGTATCTTCATCATGCTACTCCAGCCGAGTCCTCAAAGGAGCTGTGCTCTGGAGATCTCTGCAGAGCTTGCAGGCAGCTCAGCTGACCGGGGAGAAGCCTCCTCTCAGCAGGTGCTTACTGCTTTTGTAAACTTGGAGAAAGGCCTTGTCCATCTATTTTAAGGCTTTGTTTTCTGCAATTTGTTACTTGTTTACTTACCAAGTCTCCAGCCTCCCTCTTTCTTTCTTTCTTCCTTTCTTTCTTTTTTTCTGAGACAAAGTTTCTCTGTGTAGCTCTGACTGTCCTAGATCTCTCTCTGTAAACAAGGCTGGTCTCAAACTCAGAGAGATCCATCTACCTCTGCCTCTCAAGTGCTGGGATTAAAGCTGTGCCCAGCTACAGCATCCCTTGTATAGGCAGTGTTTCAATTTAGAGGAAATTGTTAGCAGTCTTTCTGGCTCTTTCATTGTTTTTTATGTTTTTTGAACCTTGGTAGAGTGGTATACACAGCCATCAATGTCTAAGCACTGCACTCCTGTGCCACAGCAACCCTCACTTAGCAGCTTCACCAGTGGCTGTGGGCCCTTCAGCACTAAGGTCTTGCATCTAATTCTGGCATGGAATCAGAAGCAGTGATAGTAACCTTTATGGTTTGTGGTACCTCAGGGGCCTCCTTGGGCAACAAATTACAACAGGGATCCCACGGCTGGCATCATAGCATCTGTCAAGGCCTAATCTGTCTTCAAGCTCACCAGCTCTTTTCCATCTGATATATTCAGCTGTTGATGTTTTATATTACATTTTAAATTTTATCAAGAGAACATTTTAATGTAAGTCTTCTGTTTATTTTTGTTTCAATTTTATATTAATCTGATAGATTAACTGAATTATTGTTTGTGAAATTCTGAATGTTCCTCAAGTTCCTTAAAACATCAATTATAATCTCTCAGTCAATGAGTCTTCGCGTGTTAGTTGCTGTTTGATTGGCCACCAGCACTTTATTTTGTTGATCCCGTGAGCTTATGGTTGTTTTGCTCAGAGCAGCTGCAAGCATAACAAGTTGTTTACAGGAAATTCAGAGTCTGGGTCCACAGTCCCCAACACTTCCCAAGCACTATGATTAAAGATCTGTATCACCATGACTGGCTGTTTTCTAATCTTTTAATTAAAAAGAAAATGGAAAAACAAGCCATCAAGTAAGAATACCAAAATAGCCAGTTGTAGATACAATTTTGGGAGGTAAAGAATATTAAAGAGAAAATGCTTTTAGAAAAAAGGAGGTATGAAGGTGGAGTCTGCATGGTAGAAACTGTAGTACAACTGTTTTCCTGGATAGTATTCACAACTAGTCTATCAACTAGCTACAACTCAACAATAGGACTAGAACCTCAACTGAGGAATTTCCTAAGTCAGAATGACATCTGGGCATGTAGACTGTTCATTGATGTAGGAAGGCCCATCCCACTGTGGGCAGCACTATTCCCTACGCAGATATTCCTGGATGCTGGTGCAGCATTAGCCTGCCTTCCTACCAGCAAGCAGCATCCTCTGGGGTTCTTGTTGCCCTTCATTGGCTGTAAAGTGGGTTCTTTGGCAAGAGGTACTGCTGTGTAGAATAGCAAAACTTGAAGGCCTTGAATTCTCTCAATGATGGACTAGTATATGAATCGTAAACCAAATAACCACCACACACACAGAGTTCCTTTTAAGATGTTTTATCCCAGCAACAGATATGAAAAGCACCTTTCCCAGTGTGGTATGAATGGTTTTGCACCTTGTGGTTTCTGTCTTCATGAGATGGATTATAGGATATGCAACCACAATAAAGCTCCCTTAAGTATCACTGGGAGGAATGCCAGGGTGGTCATCTTCTACTTGGTATTTGGTGGCAGGCCTTCCTGCAGTATAGGCTTCCCCTCAACATGGATTATAGAATCAAGTTGCATCAGGGCAACTTGATATAAGCTACAGTCATTTGGGAAGACAGACCCTCAGTGGAAAAATACACCCCATAAGATAAGAAAGCCTATAGGGCATTTTCTTAATTAGCAATTGATGTGGGAGGGCCCAACCCATTGTATGTGGGGTCACTCCTGGCCTGGTGGTTCTGGATGCTATAAGAAAGCAAACTGAGCAAGCCATGGGGAGCAGTGAGCAGCACCCCTCCATGGCCTCTGCATCAGTTCCTGTTACGGGAGGTCCTCCCACTCCTCCAGCCTATCGCCGCTGAGATACCAGCCCATTGGGGCGTGGTCTCTCTCCCTTTAAAAAAGCGGCCACTTCCCTCTCCTCTCTCTCTTCACTTCCTGCTCCGCCGGCGACTAGACTCACTTCCTGGTTGCGCAGAGGGCTGACAGTGATCTGTAAGTTTTTTCCCCTTTAAATAAATACCACCCTATTAATCATAATTCCAAACTGGTGTGGCATTGTTTATGACTTACGCCTTCAGTTGGCGCCCAACGTTTTGTTTTAGAACCTCTCTTTTCCCCATTCCGCTGCCGGCTGCGAGTTCGGCTTGGCGGGAGCCCTCCCTTCCTCAGCCGCTGCCGGCGGCCTTGGCCTCCCCACGTGGATTTAAACTCCACAGGCCCGCGTAGTCTCTGCCGCGTGGTTTGCTCTTTGCTGAGTCGTTTTTAAATCTCCCTTGCAAGCACAGCTCTTAAGTGGCACGAACCAGAGCATGCGGTTGCTGAAAGCTGCAACCCCTCAGGGTGACTCTGTCATGTGGAGGCATAAGCGGCTTCCAGGTTGCTCTTCTCTCTATGCCTGGATTCTGGGTTTCTGGTTCCGTCTCTGGAATTGATTTAATTACATTTACTTTGTTGAGCAACTTACATTTTCCAGTTTTTAACAAATACTAGGCGGACTCTGAAACAGGACTGTTTTCGTCGTGACTTGGCAACAGCGCCACCTGCTGGATAATAGGTAATATGGCAGTTTTCGTTTCCAACGCGAATTTTACTGTTCTGGTTGCCAATACAATGGGTTATATCATGCAAGGTTTATATGACTATGGGGATAACTTAATTTACTGGTTACTAAGCTTCAGTATTCTTTTGAATATTCTATCATTTAGGAAGATCATGACACTCCTAAGAACCATACAATCTTTACTAGAAACTCATGCAGGTCAGGAGATTCAGGATTCAAAAGAGACAATAATAAAGACAATAATAAAAAGACTTGAAATGATTGAAGAAATGATTGGAGCTGGTGAACAGAGTAATAAGGCACAAGGACAGGATACAATGCCAACACCAGCCATTAGAACTGGCTTAGCAAAGGTTTTGGCGGCATACCCTATACTTAATTCTGACAAAGCGTCAACTTCTAAAGGATCAAAGGGAGTCAGAGAAGCTAGATGGACGCCAATAGCAATGAATGTTCTAAAAGAAATTAAGCAAGCTATTGTTAATTTTGGCTTGCACTCTGCATATATAAAGGAAATGATAAGGACTTGGGATTCTAATGTTAGAGCTACCCCCCATGATTTCCATCAGTTAGTGTCTGCAGTTTTAGATAATGGACCTTCCTTGATGTTTGGAATTTATTTCAGAGAAGAATCCAAACATATGGAACAGCAAGGAAGAGCAAAAGGTGTCGAGGTTTCCCAAGATCAAATTCTTGGTGCAGGAGAATATGCTGATCCACAGGTCCAAGCTCTTTATGATGATGAAGTACTGTGTCTATGTCACCAAGCAGCTTTAAATGCTTGGAATAGGATACAAGATCCAGCAAAAAGGGTTGAATCATATACTAGAATTAGGCAGGGACTGAGAGAACCCTTTATTGACTTTTTGCAAAGATTAATTAAGGCTCTGGACATAGGGGTAACAGACCCAGAAGCTAGACGAATACTTCTTGAATCTCTAGCTTTTGAGAATGCAAACATAGATGCAAAAAGATAATTGGGCCTTTAAAGTCTAGATCAGCACCTATGGATGAATGGATTCAGCATACGATGAATGTTGAGACGTTTAGTTATAACGATGAACCTTGGGTAGGAGAAGCGATTTCCACAGCAATGAGGAGACATCAAACTGCCAGGTGTTTTAATTGTGGTAAATTAGGACATCTGAAAAGGGATTGCAGGCACAGAATTTCTAGGAATATTATCTCCTCTGGGAATGACAAAAATAGGAGACCTAGGCCTTCAGGTATATGTAGGAGATGCGGTAAAGGCCGACATTGGTCCAATGAATGCAGGTCAACAACAGACAAATAAGGCAACCCGATACCGTCGGGAAACTCCTTGAGGGGCCTCTCGCAGGCCCCCAAGCCAACAGTGGCCCAGTCATTCCCAATCACAGTGGAGAACGTACCTCAACAAGAAAATTAAAAGCTCCAATTTCTGCTGTAAAAAGTAATACTGGTCTAAATGATGAAATACGTGTGGAGGATGAGTCAAAAAACCCAGTAGGACAGAGTAAACGTGTATTTTGGCAGACTTCTATTAATGATCAAAGACCAAAGCTAAGAGTCTGTATAAATTGCACTTTTATTGAAGGCTTATTAGACACACGTGTGGATGTAAGTATCATTACCCCAGAATCTTGGCATCCGAATTGGCCTCTTCAAGAGGTAGATGTTCAGTTCCTGGGAATTGGAACCCTATCTCGTGTAAAACAAAGCACAAGATGGGTTGAATGCATAGGGCCCGAAGGGCAAATAGGAAGACTAAGGCCATATATAGACAATATTGCCATAAATTTATGGGGCCGTGACCTGCTACAGCAATGGAATACCCAGGTTAACATTCCTGTAGTTCCAGGAACTCATAATTCTGGGAAGGATATGATGATATATTATGGAAAAAGGTCACCAGCCATTCAGGCTGTACAAGAACATACAGCAAATACCAAACCTTTAGAGGTACCAACAGCCCTACCTTTAAAATGGCTAACTGAGAAGCCAATATGGACCAAACAGTGGCCTCTAGC